TGGATCGGAAGGACTGAAAATACGGTTGAGTTTACAAGAAATAATATCTACCGTTATAGACGCTCATGTTTTATTTGTTTCTTATGTTCGTCCACAGGATGGAGAACAAAGCACTTTTAATTTCTGGCCCCTTGGGAAACTAAACTTACAGTTTCTCTGGAGTTGACATTTGAAAAAGTGAGGTATGTTACGGTGCGCAAAGGGAAAATATAAGGGTTTGTTTGGGAATAGACCACTTTCATAAATGGCTGCCGGATTAATATTCTTTTGTTTAAATTTAAATTAGCCCTATTGGCCTCGTCCTCCAGTACAAAATTCAAAAGCGAGGCCAGTAGGGCGAATTTAAATTTAAACGAAAAAATATTTATACAGCAGCCATTTGTGAAAGTGGTCTATTAACGGTCGCTCTTTCAACCTAAAAAATCTGAACTAGTTTTACAAGGAAAAACAAATTTACCTCTCTTGAGTTGATTGTTCCTTTGAGTCGAGGGAGATCTAGGCTGATCTGAGGCTGTTCACCTCGGTTTAAGTTCATCTCCTTTGTCCTCCATATCTAGGATTCTATGTAGATTTTCCTCTACAGGCACATTTATCATACTAAACTTATTAAGAAAAGATGCCGCTTAACGCTACAAAGGAGCGCACTGGTTCAAGCTCAAATCAAAACTAGCATAACCTGAGCGGAGTGGGATCCACGCGGTAGGCTTGGGAACTAATAAAAGAATCCGTTTAGCCCTCTTTCGACCCAGACCTCCGCGCTTCGCGCAGGCAGATTATATGAAACAGGTAAGATCGGGACGTGGGCTAAAGAACATGCAAACACAGTCCCCTCAATAATTTATCATAGAAACCATGCAAAGTATGCAAACATACGATAACTTGTTTATTTCAACACACTCTAGATTTTGGTTTTAGTTTTTATAGTGTAGGTCCATGGAGCGAGGCTTTCGAACCATTATCAGACTGTCGACCCGTTTGGGTGACGACACGCCTCGCTATCACGAACCTGAGAGGCATGGTGAGGCGGAGACCATGGCTTAGTGTGAATGACCAGTGTATCTCGTCCTCTATAAGAGATAAAGATGCATACGTAAGGCTTGGGCACTAGTTCCCAGACTTTCGTAGGTTTTTTAATCGAGGATTCTACTCTTGTAACGTCGACGTAAAGGACTCGTCCACTCGGATGATAAAGAAATCACTTAACATTCAAATAGGTCTAAAACGACCTCAAACCCCTCACTTTCGGAATGAGGGTAAATGAGGGTCAGACGCTTTGCACTTACCCTCGTTTTAAAACAGGTGCTTCGTGAATCTCAAAAATGTATCCACCATTTTAGCTTCGGGTTCTTCAGATTATTTGATTTTAATTTATATTTAAGAACCGTTTCGTCTTTCAACATCCACGTATCAAATACGATGTGTGTTACGCCGCAAAATATAATAATTGCCGCAAAATGCAATACTGACGCAAAATGTATAACTGACGCAAAATGTAATACTGACGCAAAACGTAATAATCGCCGCAAAATGTAACAAGTCACTCAACGCTAAATGTAACAACTGTTCAACACGAAATGTAATAACTTTCCTAACGCATCATGTAATAACGCAAAAGGTAATAGCTTTTGAATGACTTGTACGCTCTTAACTTCGTTGTGATGCTCATCTTAGATTACGTGAATCAAATAAAAGATTTTCAGGTTTTCTGGTTAACTCTAAAGGGACGGTTCCCTCGCTTGTGAATTACTGTTGAAGTGTCTTGCAATTCTGTTACTAGCTCTTAGGACTGTCGCCTTCTCTTTTTCAAGAGAATACCATTAAATTTCATTCTGCCCACATCGTTTTCGTAATACGTATATTGTTTAGGTGTGAGAATGTAGATTGCTTCTGTTTACAATGGCATTTTGGCGGGTAGGCAAATTCGATTGAAAGCGAAGTTTTAAGTAATTGCCATAAGACTTCACTCCCACCAACCTCATCGCAAAGTACGTTCTACCCACGAAATCTTTCGTGTTATCGCTTTTTAAGTTTTTCAAGTTCATTAATTTTATTATAGACTGTCAAGTCTGGAGGTAGATATTTTGCAAAGGGTTGTTAGACAACCCGAATTCATGTCTAGGAAAAAAAGTACAATTTTCGAGCTTCCGTGAGCAAGAGACTTTTTTAACAAATGGTTAACACCACAGCGTACAATATCGAGTCATGGATGCACGCGGGAGGTTTCCAAGCACGGAAGAAGCGCGAGGCGATAGCTGAAAGCGACTATAGCTTCTTGAGTGCTTGGCAAACCTCCCAAATGCATCCATAACTCAATATTGTATACTGTGGCGTTTGCCATCAGTTTTATAACACAGCATTGATACATTGTAGCAAAAGAGTTTTCCTTTATTTATTTACCTGACCAGAAAAAACAAGCGCGCGCGGAAAACTAGTCTTGCATTTGCTCATGTCAACAACGTACATCCATTGGCAAACAATGGACGAATTGACCAATCAGAGCGCGCACTTTACTTTGGTTATGTTATAGATGTAAGTTTAACACGCCCAAACATTCAAGTGTTTCGACACAATCTGTCATATTTTATCGTCTAACCAATTTACGTTTGGAGCGTGAGCATGTCTAGTTTTGACAATTTCGCCGTGTATTTCGGCACTTCAGCTAAACACAGTA